GGTGAGAGGGTGCTGGACCATGCTGTGTGGTGAGCGGTCATGACCATGCGGTGTGGTGAGGGGGTGCTGGACCACATGGTGTGGTGAGGGGTCGTGACCACGTGGTGTGGTGAGGGGGTCATGACCACGCTGTGTGGTGAGGGGGTCGTGACCACGCGGTGTGGTGAGGGGGTCGTGACCACGCGGTGTGGTGAGGGGGTGCGGACCACGCGGTGTGCTGAGGGGTCATGACCACGCTGTGTGGTGAGGGGGTCGTGACCACGTGGTGTGGTGAGGGGGTCGTGACCACGTGGTATGGTTAGGGGGTGCGGGCCACGCGGTGTGCTGAGGGGTCGTGACCACGCGGTGTGGTGAGGGGGTGCTGGACCATGCGGTGTGGGGAGGGGGTGCTGGACCACGTCTGCTGTTCTCACCACAAAGACTGCTGCTTCTCCAGGCGGCTAGTGACCGTCAAGGGATGATGACCATAGTGATGACAGAGTTACCATGAAATAGTTGTCATCATTACACATTGCATGTCTTGGATCTTTATATCAATGTGGGAAAGAAAGGGAACAAAACAAAATAAGTAGCAAAAAGCACTGTCTATATTCACAATGACTTTTAAACATGTGACATACATATTGACATGCAGTTGGGCTGCGAAGCTTTTTGTATCATGGGCTTTGATAAAAAGGATCTCAAAGCTACCATTTGAGATTCTGGAGTTTTCTCAGCATCCCTCCCATAACGTGCTCTAAAGTGAACTCGATACTCTGCATGAAATCCTAACAGTGCAAACAGAAAAGAGTCAGTACTGCTCTTCTGTTTTTATCACTGTTGTTAGGTCCCGTTGAGGCTGTTATTTTTTAAAATTTTTATTAATTTTAATGACAGTTTACAGAGACTTTGGATTTCCCTTGCTGCACTTTCCTCACTGCCCACCCCTCCTCCAAGGTCACTCTTCTCCTTGAAAAGTTAAAAAAATTATTTCATTGTTATAAAATCCCTCCCCTGACAGTCTACTCCACTGCGCAGCCTTCATTCTGGACTCCTGTCATGACATCATATATATAAAAATATATAAAA